AACTTCAAAAGAAAACTCACAAGAGATTTCACTAAAAGTACAGGAAGGAAAAAAACAATTAACCAGTGTTGAAAAGTAAATGAAAACTTTTTTATTGAGTATTTATTATTTTTTTACACATAAAGCATATTAAAAGTAAATCTATAATAAACTGACTATTCCACAGTGAAAACCTATGCAGTGGGAATGATGAAAGCTGTCTACACAATACCATGTTCAATTAATTATCCAGATTGTTTTTCCACAAATATTTGGATTACCCGAATTAACTGATTTTTTAATAAAACAGAAAGTTTCAGCTTTCATACAATATTTGCTGGTAGCAATAGCTACCTGCTTCTTAACTTTAGAAAAAAATAACATGAGAATAAAAACTACACAGCATAGCCAAATCTTTTAAGAAACAAATTGACCAAAACTAATATATACCCAATTAGGTATCCAGAAAGGAAAACAAAACAAAACCAAGACACAAGCACTTGTATCAATCAAGCAAGCATCACTAACATTGTAGTATTACCAGAGTGACTGCCAGTATGCGACCTGTAGATTAGAGGAGGCTTAAATACATAAAAACAAACCAGTAATCAATCAATCATGTATACAGAAATACTAACTTGAATCACATTTGCATATCATCAATAGTTTGGTGTACCTGACATACACTGAATTCTTTTTATTTTGCTACTGTTACAAATACTTTCCAACATGCATCAGTTCTTTCTTTCTACTGTTCAGTAAATGTTGCAACAAATTAAACAGTACCTATTAACGTGATATAAAAGACAATTGCTGGATAATTAATACAAAAAGTACTTTTGAGTGAGCTATTCAGATAGACAGGCTAATCCTAGGTAAGACTGCTCTTTATGCTACTGATATATGGTATACAGATTGTACTCTGCTAAATGGAGAGTTGGTTGATGTCCATTTATTTAAAACTTCTGTTATACATGTAACACTACACCCAAGTGACTAATAAATACTTGCTGAAGTAGGTATAAAAATTTCATGTGACTCTCACATGTATGTTCTCACATAACTTTGAGGGGTGGGTGGGGATGAGGATATGACTTCCACATGCTCTGAAACTCAGCTAAACAAAATCAGTACAGGTCTTCTTGCATAATGTTTCAAGTCTTTAAGCCAAGAATGAAATAACCAACTTCTGTACATCAAAAAGAAACTGAACAGCATGGGGGGGAGGCGCCTGTGTCAGTGTCCTTCATGAGCAAACTCCATTGTCTATGGTATTATACTTTTAGTTTAATGGAACAACCAAAGTGCCACACTAGCTCTCAGATAAGTCATTTAGGTTAAGATTCTCATCAATGGGGTTTCCCTTATTTATTAGAGCATATTTTCAATGCAAAAGAAGTCAATCTGCTGTTACCTATTAGGACTGGTTCATATAAAACGTGAGAATGCCTGACACTAACTTTAACTTATTTAAAGTTCTGATTCTTGAATGCTGGCTCTTTCTCATTTAACACATTCCTCTAATGAAATGTTGCTATGTTTTGGTTCACATATCCCAAGAATAAAATATATGCCAAAGTTTTGGAACAAATGAACAAAACCATGAATAATTATTAAATAAGTGTCAGCACTGCATGGTACTTACTTACTAGTCACTGATTCAAAATCATAAAACTATGAAAAAACTAAAAAGAAAAAAGGACTCTCATTGTACACGAGAAGGTTTTTCGGATATCACATCATTTATCCAGTCCAGGATCTTTACTGCCTTGCTTTATGGTGTTGAAAATATGATGCTTGTTTCACCCTGATTTGCATTGTTTTCAACAAAGTATATGTGAACTCAAAATTTTACATTGTGATTTCTAATTACAAAAATCCAGATTACTCCAGAAAACATAAACCACATATAACTGAGGTAGGTTTTCACCTTAAAAATACATTGCTTCTACCACAATTTAAAAATTTTTAAATTATGGGAAAAAAAAGACTACAGTGCTTCATGTACCTGCTTGATACTTAATTTTCTACATTTTAAACTACTTGAACAAGTGACAATGCTAATCTACTATTACTTAGTAAACCTCTCAGATTACATAAAATAAACACCCCAACTCCTTTCCCTTCCTAATGGTAAGTGTATTACAATAAAACTACCAGTAATTCTATGAAAATGCAATGATGATCACTACAACAATTTGGGTGAATCCCTGTCAGCATCAGGGAATGCAAATCATGTTCACATTAAAGATAATAAACTTACTGTTTTGAAAATTTTATAAAAACATCAGAAATTTGGATGTGCTTTATTATGACACAAATTACCAGGAGATAGGGAAATAAGTCTTTTTTTGGAGGGGCAGAGCTGAAACTGGACTTTGAATTCAGGGCTTTTGTAAAGTAAGCACCTATTCTGCTTGAGCCACACCTCCAGTCCATTTTGCTCTGGGTATTTTGAAGGGAGGGTATCTCATGAACTATTTGCCCAGGCTGGGTTTGAAGTGAAATCCTCCCTATCTCAGTCTCCCACACAGCTAGAATTATAGGCATACGCCACAGGTGGGAGATAGTATTTTTAAATGGACTAGATTTCACAAATACTGTGTTATTGACAATAGCCAAGTTTCCTGGGGCAAAACACACATACTTAAGTTTCTGTTAAAATTTTTCCCTTAAAACAAATTTTAATTTACTGAAAAGCGACCTTTGGTGTTTATTAGTATTATGGTTCATGTTTTTGTAATACTGTAATTATTAATAAATTTAAAAGGGGAAGTTGTAGGTCCTACTTCATTTTCAACAGTCAATGCAATAATCTGCACATGAAGTAAATACACTTTTTAAGGAGGTGGGGGAGGACTGCATGTGAAATGCTTTTGGTAAATTTGCATTTACAGCCATTATACTATAAAAGCAAAAAATCACTGCTGAATATATTCCAAATAAATTGAAAGAAAGGGAAAAACTTCACAACAGCTCAGTCTTTAAAAGTTCATAGGTGACATACTTTTTAAAAGTGAAATGAAATGTGCTTTTATCTACATATGAACTAAATTAAAAATTCAAGGTGATTCTGTTACTGAAAACACACTACACTAACATATTTTAAGATTGGATATTGACAGCATTTTTGTAACATCTAAAGGGTAAATAAGGAATTGGGCGATAGGGACATTTCTGCACGTACCTAAGGATGCCTAAAGAAAGATGAGCACTTCACAGCCAATGTGGTGCCTGAGCCTGGCACACTACCTCAACATGCAGGCAGCAGATCACTGCTCCCACACTGGGTAAAGGTCTCCAAAAAAGGAAGCCTTTCTGCACTCATTCTTGTAGCTACTTCAAATTTGATAAGCTGACACTGAACTGCATGTAAGCAGCAAACATGTATATGGATACATAAAAACTGCCCCAAGTCCTTATAGGTGAACAATGCAGGTAGCTGAATTTTCAATTGTAGGATCTTCAATGGAAAATACAAGATAGCAGCTAGTTCCCAGAGTTCCCAGACTAAATTATAATCAGAATCATCAGATGATGAACTTATCTGGAGTGTGGGTCCTCAACCTAAATCTCCATGACAGCCACAGTCAGGGATTCTTTTCACGCTCAAGTGACCGTGATGCTCGGTCACTCTGGAAACTTCTGAGCTGAGGAGCAGGGCATGCCAACTTGGGTGAATGAAGACTTTTACAATTAAAAATCCGATACCACATTTTCTTCAATTATCTTTCCTTCCTCCCCTGCCTTTTTTTTGATGGTGATAAATGACAAGGCTTGGCAAAGTGAAGGAAATACCCCAAATGGGTATTACTGCAGTCAATCTACTTGCATATACTGATGAGATAAAAGGGTATCAGTAGTGAGCTTCAGCTATGAGGCAGACATGTCTAAAGGTACATCAAGGAAGGGGAAGAGTTCTTACTCAAAATGAAAATGTAATATAAAACAACTGTAGGCACTAAGAATACTTCATGGGAGACAACTTTTTATTTTATAATTCATCAAAAATGAGTGACTGTTTTTTTCATTGTTAGGAAGCAAGCTCCCTTAAATCTGGGATAGGGGAAAGTATTCATTCCTATGATAAAAATGGTGCAACAGGGTTTGTCCAACTTAGAAATTAAGCAAAGTATTTTGGTACTATTTCTACTAACATATTGTTTTGTTAGTATGGACAATGTAAATGTTTTAAGTGTGGACAAATATTTTGGTTCTGATTTAAAAGCATATGATAATAAAAAAACATGGATTTTCCTCTTCAACACTGGAAATTATACAAAATTTTGAGGACTGAAGAATAAACAACAAAAAAAGATAGTACCTACATAAGAAATTGTACATTAAAATTACAATTGTTTTTTAGAAATTAATTTTAAATTTTTCAATATTCAAACACAAAATAGTAAATTCTCATTTATTATAGCACAATTCAAGTATTCTCTTAAGTTTATACTTAGCCAACTAGAACATATTAAGTGGCTTTTAAAAATAGCTTTTAAAAGATTACTTTTACACAAAATAGTGTGTCTGTTACTTATTACTCTAAATCACTTACAAGTGGAAAGAACAAATGACAGTAGACAAAGACTTTCTAAGTCTTCAACATGTGAAAGATGGTATATATCAGTAATAAGGCAATGGTAGGTAATTCCCCCCAAAGTATTTGAATTCATGTAAACAAAGACTATGTATATTCCTTTAGGGAGAAAATGTACGCATGTTCTAACAACTGTGACTTTAAAACCATATATTACTTGAATATCACACAAAACCAAGAGGCATTATCTATCATTTTTAATAAGTGAAAACGATGTTACTTATTCGTGAAATAAAAGGTTGGTATTTTGAAACTAATAATGAAGAAGAAAAATTCTGAAAATAAACATCCATCCATTTTTCTAGGAATAAATATACATAGTTATTTTAATTACTGCAGCACAGGAGTATCACCCCAGCCTTAACCATAACATTCAATCAGTAGTTTTAAAATATTTTTTCCACATTGAGCCTTGAATCTTCTACCTTGTCAGCTGCCCAACAACTTTCAAAAGAGTTTTATTTTCTTGCTTTAGTTGTTCATTTTCATCTTCTATATCATCTAGGTCCTTAAGGGTTGGGAGGGAGGGAGAAAAACCAGTATTTAAAAAATTATAATGGATACTTAAGAAACACTTTTTAAAAACACATATTCAAAAATAATTCATTTACTCAATTAATATTGAAATGAGGATAAGTTCTTGTCACATCTTTCAGTTTTTCAACTGTGAATCTTTACATTTTCAATCATCATTAAGTAGCTAAATTTTTTTGGTTAAAAACAAACTCCACTCCCCCTTCCCCAAACTGAGAACTAAATAAACATATATGCAGGCCCAATGTGGTGTACAGGGACCCAGATTACAAGCTGTGTCAAATTGAGCATCGAAAGGCAGTTACAAACTCTGGATATCCTCCTACCACTGTATGTGACCTTGAAAGGAGAACATCTGGGGATGAGAGTCTGAGGAGATAACTGAGACACACAGAAAAGGGGAGGGGAGAAGTGTAGGATTTGTCTGATTTAGTTTGTATCTGGGACCTACAGTTCATTTGGTTCAATTTATATAGTAAGGTCTTACATGGTCTTTTGTTTGAGGTAAAGATTTTAGGGCTAAAAAAAAAAGGAAAGCCATTTACTCTACATGTTAAACACAAGATCCAGCTCTATATTCCTTGTGCAAATATACAACCATTTAGTTAAAGGATAAAACAATCTGCTATACGTTTTTACTACAAAAAACATTATTTCAAGACAGATAATTTACTGTTAGAAAAGTAGACATTTATAGATTTATCCTTGCAGTTTACAATACTAAAACGTGACGTAATGAATTTGAATAGCATTCTGATTAATTTCGTTGTCTTTGGACAAAACAGACAAATGTTTTAAAAATTTCTAAAAATCAGAATTTGTACCTATTCACAATCTGAATGATAAAAATATGGTATACCTAAAATTACTACTACTGAAATCTACCTAAAATTTAGAATTAAATAATAAAATACATCCATGTATCATTACTAGATCATAAACTCCATATGGGAAAAGGTTTTATTATACTTTTTAATTCTCACAATGCCCACATACTGCAAACATATCATGGACACAAAAAATATTTGCAGAACTTCTTTAATTAAATTTCAGAACAAGTAGAAAAATGCTTATAATGGAACCAAGAGGAAAGACCATATAATACTGCAAGTCAGTACTATCTCAGCTGTGAGCAAGTTAAACTGTGGGCTTCACTGTCTTCCTCTATAACTTGAGTTACCTCCTTCAAGCTTTACTAGAAAACAGGTTTGCACATAACGGAAAACCCCCATTTTTAGTGAGTTTTATTTTTGTGCAATACTGGAAATCAAGCCCAAGGACTCACAGATGCCAGCAGTTTACCATTTAATTCTTTTATAGTTAAAGACTGGCTTGAGGGTGTGTGCATTTTCTCCCTGAAGCAAACTTAACCTTTTCTCCTTTATCTTATGTAAAGCTGTTAAAGAATTTTTTTTTAAAGCAAAATTATGGCATCTTTTCTCATCCCCAGTATGTAAGTATGGCCTACTGCTTTCAGCAGCAGTTAAGATTAAGTGAGTTAAACTGATCACTACTGAGAGGAAATCAGGTTATAGAATGAAATGACAGTTCTCGCCAGAAATTACCATCTCATTAACAAAAAAACACACTGAAAAATGCAATTAAACAACTTTCCCATACTTATGTATCTCATACAATTGCCAAAAAATGGGAATCTTTAGAATTAAAATATGTAAAATACTTACTCTATTTAACAAATCAATTTCTTCTTTAAGTTTTCCAATCATTTCCTCTTTATCTTGCATCAGTCTCACAAGTCTTAGGTTTTCTTGCCTTTCTCTTACTACTTCCTGGTGGATATAATTACAAAGCATTAATAGGGAAGTCACTAGTTGTTATAATCTTAAATTGCATACATCCACAAGTAACAGTGACATATTCCAAACAGCAATTTGGCAAAGGTCCTTTTAACCATATTTTGAAACTGAAGGCATGATTGTTAGTATATCCTTTTTTAATAGTAAAGAGCAGACTATTAATAATGATATGATTTTTAAAATAACAGAATTTGAATTAAAAAGGGAAAGGTAAATTTAATTTTTTTCACTCTTCTTTAAGAAGATGTCCTGCACTAGGCACACTGGAACAAAGCTGTTTTCCCATGTACTCAGAGGCTGAGGCAAAAGGATCCCTGAGCCCAGGAGTTTAAGGCCAGCCTCTGCAACATAATGAGAAGTCCAGTACCAAAATAAAATTTCCACTGAGTTCCTTAAGATACTTAGGAAGGGAAGAAAGACCCACACCAGTAAAGAGTAGGGATGAAAAGAGTACAGAAGGGAGCTCACAAGTCTAGCAAATATGACTTACCTCCTTTGTTTATCACCATTAGTTATAAATCGCCTTATTTTTTCCTAATGAATCATGTCTTCTTTGGGGAAATTAAAAAATTTGATTAAAAGTATGAAATTTAAAGGTCAGTGGATATAGGTCAGTGGTGGAACACTTTCCTAGTATACTTGAGACTCTGGGTTTCAACCTCATCACTTCAAGGGATAAAAAAGAAAAAAAGAGCAGTATCTGGGCCTTAAGCTGGGTAGTTCCCTGGAAGCAAGAGGGAAGCAAAGCTGAGAAAGCTTGGCTGGCCAGGATATCACCTCTTTTCCACTGGCCCTGAGAGAATGCAGTCACCTATCCATATCAATCAGCCAACTGTGAGCAATCCAATCCCAATTCTTTTACTCCACAAGAATTTCTGAAGATGCCCCAGAAAACTATTAAAGTGTGTATCCTCTGGAGTTTTAAATGTAAACCCACAAAATAATGGTTCCAAACAGAAATAAAATGTTAAAGCATATATGTAACCTAAAAATAATAACAGAAAAAATAAACTTTTAGAATTAAATCTCTATTTGAAACAAGCTGTACATCACAGGAGATAATTTCAATTCAGTAAAAGTTTTTCACCAAATAATTCAGCTCCACTGGCAATTTCAGAAGCTGTATGTCTATGGCATAAACCTGAGACCATGGTTAATAAATTTATGCCAATATTCATTTGAATTATTCTCAAGAATAATTCTATGCAAGTTTATTCTTAAATAAAACAGTTTCAAACCACAAATATAGACCTAATTCAGAATCAATGGCAAGTTCACAAATAATCTGTTAGGATAATATAACAAATACACATTAGTATACGTTGCCAGCTCAAGACTTCTAACCATTTTAACAACTGTTCAACATATTAAATAAAACACATGGCAGAATAGGAATAATCATCAAATATTAAAGAGTACAAGAATTTATTCTGTTCCTAAAGTTTTAACATCATCAGAACAGAATAGAAAAGTATTAAAATCAGAAAGTACCTAGATACCATATATCTAGAAACTAAATATATAAGACAGTGATTAAAAGTTACTATTTATTAGAAAGTAATACCACTGATATCTCCCATCAGTGTCCCTCTTCTTTCCGTGTTTTTGGCATTATTGATCCCCCATAGATTTCAATTTATTTTCTCTCTCAGCTGCCATGAAACTAGAAAAGAATCCTAATGATATATTGGTCCTATTCATCTTGAATAACATAATTCATACCTTTTCAAGATCTTCGATTTTCTTTTCCAACGTGCTACTTGAGGCCAAAGTACTTGCAACATTTGCCTCTCTGCTGTATCTACTGAACCCACTTCTGTCTGTTCGGGGATATCTACTTGAGACATCATCTTCTGAGGCAGTGGTTGTACTATGGAAATAAAAAGACACAACGTATAAAAATCCTCAGTAAACTACAAGAAAAATATTTTCTATTCAGCCTATACAATTAGTGCTCCCTAAGGACATACAGTTATAGCAGACAGCTTATTCACAACTCTAGAGATTTATCATCATTCGAATTCAAGGAAACAAATGCAAAAGTCACACAACTCTTCCGATCAGGATCTACTAAGCAACATAAGCATCAGCACTGCTCTAGGTACTGAAGATGTTAACAGCATGGGAATACAACCAATTACAACACGGCAATATGACCATCACAGCAAGCTCAGGGCAGAGCACTGTAAGAACTACAATAGAGTAGATCTCCTACACAATTTATGATGAAGGACCACTTATCTCCCATTTGCCTTCTAAAAATTCCAATCCCTCATGGACCACCAATACTTTTGTAAAATAAAAGGTGACATAAAATTTGAATCAAAATATTTCATCAGATTCAGAACTATGAAATAAAAAATATAATTAGAATAGAAAAAAGAAAGGGATTACATAAAATCCATACTTTTCACTAAAAGTATGCAGAGGCAATTTAATACAAAAATTATTCACACTAGTAACTTTTATCATTCCATACTTCTAATTTAACCAGAAGTTATGAGTTAGAAGCAATTTTTCAAGTTAAATACACTCTGAATAAAGTTTTTAATGTAATGAACAAGCTTGCTGTATTATCTATTACTACATAAAAATATCCTCAAAATTGTGTGGCTTTAAACATACATTTATTATCTCCAAGTTTCTGTTTGTCAGGAATTTAGAAGCAGCTCATTAGCTGGGTGGTTATGACTCAAGGATTCTCATGAGGTTTGGCCAAGGTGTTGGGCAGTGCTAGTCATCTGAAGACGTGCCTTCGGAGTGGAACATCTGCTTGTAAGCTCATGTACCTGCCTGATGGCAAAAGTACTCAGCTACTTCCTATGTGGTTTTTTCCACTGAACTATTCACCACATGGCAACGGCCTTCCAGAGAGAAGGTGACAACACGACAGGACAGAAGCTGCAATGTCTGTTATAACCCAATCTCAGAAGTGACAAACTATCACATCTGTTTTGTTTTACTGGCCATATAGATGGACATATTAGAATGAGAGAGGGGATTACCAAGGCATAAATACCAGGGCTCATCGGGAGCTGTCTTGAAGCTGGCTAATGCAGTTGTTAATTTATTTAATCTGGGTTGTATTAACTAATGACTACACTTCAAAAGGGATAAATGTATATTTAAACTATGTCTTGTTTAAAAATCACTCAGGAACAAATCTCACAGAAGTATGTTGACAGAAACAGCGGGAGAGATTTTAAAGCAATTTCAGAAAGCTCAGGATATTAGTTTTTAAAAAATCATACAAAAACGTAGAAAATATGCTTTTTAAATTCTGTCTTCGATCATTCATTGGTAGGCAGCTACAATATTTTATCCAGCAAAATTATAGTGAAATCTAAAATAGCTTTTGAAGAAAAAACAAAACTCTTGTTTTATGAATATCCTAGATTTTCTTTTTCTGAACAAATTCATTATGTATCTGATTATAACCTTTCCAAGTGTGCAAAACCAAGATCACTAACCCACTTCACCGATTATTGTTACCACATTACAGAAAACACTATAGGAAACTTTTCCCCCAAATTTCTAACATGTTTTGATCCTTTGATCTTAGATCTTATCTGTCATTGAAAAACATCTGACATTCCTTCCTTGCTTTTTAAGCTAAGATCACTTAAAAAAAAAAAATGAAGCTATCAACCAAAGAAGTCTAAATTGCATATTTAAAAAGCCAAGGAAGCAGTTTCTTATCTCGCAAAAATACTGAGTTCATCTTGAACTTCAAAATTCTTGAATGAAAATTTCCCTTTGAAAACCAATGTGTAACTCAGTACACAAGAGTTGATCAGCTCAGCTGATAAGATCAACACCCAAACTATCACTTAAACTGTTAGAAATTTTAAATTTAATGCATTAGTGTTAAAATAATTCACAATTTTAGTGAACTATTGTTAATTCACTTGCTAAGAGTACAAATACTATTTAGTTCAGCTGATACTGAAAGACTTTCTTAGTGAAAAAAGTGGACACTGATTATATTCTGGAGCAAGTTCCAACATATTTTTGTTGTCAGTATCTAAGCAGAATATATACAGGTATTTTTTTTGGTGGAACTGGGGCTCGAACTCAGAGCTTTGCACTTGCAAATCTGGTGCCCTACCTCTTGAGCCATACCCCCAGTCCATTTTGCTCTGGTTATTTTGGAGATGGGGGTCTCAAGAACTATGATTCTCCTGATCTCAGCCTCCCAAATGGTTAGGCATGAGCCACGTAACTGGGCAAAAAATATATTCTTATAAATGCAAAACTCTAAACCATATTTGTAACTATTGTAGCCCTTTAAAATTGTGTATATTTTAGAGCAAATTGTGTTTATTGGCAATGAAGCTGAAAAATAATTTGTGACTTTGTATCATTTTCATGTTAACAAAATCAATATGTTCATCAACTCTAACAAAAGTCCTTATTTGTGTGAGAGCTGGTCTTCCTCACTATCCTGTTCCTAATATATTAACCAATGGCACTGCTGGAAATGTGTGCCCAAACTACCTTCTCTTTGCTACAGATTCACCCAGCATTTCCAAGCAAACATATTTTGTCTCATCATTTTTATGTTGTTTTTTCAATGCTGGCAACATCTGTTTCTATCAGCTAAAGTAATATTCTTTCTTTCAAGTAGTAAATTTTATTTTGAACATATTTATATCATATATAATCCACTAAGGTTCTAGCATTTCTATCAATTATGGCTACAATTTGAGCTCAATTATACTGAAAGAACATACTTCTTAATCAACGACTACAAACTGTGTGGCCTGTACCACTATGAAGTTAACTCCTACAGAGACCATTAGTTTACTACTACTAATTCAACAAGGTTTGGTGAATGACTGAAGCTTTAAAAAACTGTCATGAGTTAGGGATGTAGCTCAGTGGTACAGAACTTGTTTAGCATGGGTGAAGCTCTGGGTTCAACACCTGCATTACAAAAAAAGAAGAATAAACAATGTCTGGGTTTCTGGTGTATATACTACTGAAATCCATCAAGCTTCACAAATTTACTTTTAGTCATGCTGACTTTGGCATGCTTCTGAGATATCTGAAAATAGCTGTCATATAGTTCCTGGTAACACAGGTATGGAGCTAAGGTCTGGAGTCATCAGAATATGTACAGTTAGTAATTGAAGTCACTGGAATGAACGAAATTTTTAGCAAAAATAGAACAAAAAGAGAATATAGTTTAAAACAGATGATTACATAATATCAATACATAAAGAACAGACAGAAAGGAAGAACTACAGAGAAGACTGAGAAATATCAGCAAATGAGGTAGAAAATCAAGAGTAAAGTATCAATGAAGTCATGACATGTTATAAAGCAATGTTAGAACCATTTTAAAGGATCTTTTTCACTTTAAAGAAAGTCCAATTTTCTTCATAAACTACAATGTATTAAAGTAGAAAATCTGATGCTGACAACTGCTCCAAAATAAACAAAACACTCAGAAATATGGGTGTCTCCTAATAGTTCTGTATTTGCTTAATGAACAAGTTTAAAACAGTATTTTGGAAAGAGGCCGGAGGAGGGTCCAGGATGGCTGAGTAGAGGTGGCCAGCATTCACCTCCTCCACAGAAGAACAACCAGGATAACAAATGAATAAGGGAGGGAAGACTCCGGAATTTAGCAAGAGAGTGACAAGACCTGCATAGGACTGATAAGAACTATATGGGGCATGGAGACTTGGAATGACTTGGCATAGAGAGAGGAACAAAGCACACTACAAACGTGACCCCTGTCCCCTAGCCAAGGATAACTCCACATTGCTTGGAAAAAGATAAGCAAGAAAGCACCACAGGCCTCTACCACTGCCATGAGCTAGGAATTCTAAGAACAATAGAGTTCTGTAATGCTCACTGGCATTGAATCCAATTTAGAGAACTACCTGGTATCTGTGACTGCTTTTCTCCAGAGAAGGAACTCACTTGTGGGCCCCTCTTCCATCTATCCATTCTATACCATTCTTGAGAATGGAGCCACTGCCAGAGTCCATTCTGACCTAGGGACCAGTAGCCACTGCTTCTTTGTCATCCCTGGAATCCCACAAATGTCCCACATACTTGCCCAAAAGACTGCACCCTCATGAATTCAGCTACTCAGTTGTACAACTATGAACTCAAACACAAACTTAAATAGCACCCTGCACTTCAGGATACAGGTGGCCCAGCCCAAACCAGAGACACTTACATGCTCAAACTCTAGGACCTGAGAATCTGTCTCCACTTCATCTCCTTGTCCCTGGTGCCTCAGCTGCAGTCACAGCCATAAGCACTCCTCTGCAGGACCTAAGGACAGGCCTCTCAGCAGCTTGTGAGTCCAGAGTAGTGGCTACCACACCAGAGGCCCCACCTCATGGGGCTTGGCACTCACCCCGACCTGAGAACAAGCTCCTCAACAACACTATCAACACTTATCTCCTGAAGGCCTAAGGCCGTGCCCCTCTGCAGCCTGCATCTGGTGCTACCACTGCCACTAGCCTCAGCAGGACTGGTGGTCACATACTCCTGGCAGCTCATGTCTGTGGCAAAGTTGCACTACTGCCCCCACAAACACCAGCAGTGTAGACCACTGAGGCATTCACAGACACCAGTGATGATGACTATAGCTGAAGAAATCACACAGAGGCGACAGTTCACACTCAGAATTAACGTCACAGTTCCTACCCAACTGAGGCCCTATACCCTATGTAAAAGAAAAAGTCTTTGCCTGCAAAAGCTATAAAATAAAATTCAAAGAAGTGACAGTTACAACAGATGTACAAACATCAACAATGGAACAACAGCAAGGAACCATGATACCGCCAAAGGAACAAAATAATTCTTTAGAAAAAAGTTCCCAACATGCAATAGGTCTATTAAACTTGA